GGCCCTCCTCTTCTAGCGAATCGGCTTGACTACACTGTCAATGTTGAGTACATGACATATGACATTCGGGCTGATCCCGATAATATCAACATGAGTCCATGTAAAAACATCGACATTCTCTCTGAGGAAGCTCGTTAGGCTTTTGGCGAGTTAGGGGTTGAGATTACTGTCGATTCTCAACACTCGGGTCGACTCATTTTGATTGACTGACACCTCAGATAGGTCCTCAACTAGTCCACTATGACGACACTCTTGGATGCGAAGATCCATGTTTTCCTCTACTAGGCCAAGCTGTGGCTCGATTCTGTTGATCGCCATAGCTTGCTTGGGGATGCCTATTGGCCTTCCTTTTCCTTTGCACGTCATCTGCACTGCTCTTATGTAGTAGTCACGAGATTCGCGTTGAGATCCTTTTACTTTCCAAATCCTCATCGGAGTGGGGAACTTCATTTTCAGATGGTAGATGGAGGTGACTGCCTTGAAATTTCGTAGTAAAGGTCGTCACATAACGCCATTAAAGGTAGATGGGTAGTCTACCACCAAAAACTCTGTCATTTTGGTCATTTCGTTGGTCTCACCAAATGTGATCTGAAGTGAGATCGTTCCTCTAGGAATAAGATGATCCCCAGTAAAACCATAGAGAGGGATGGAGGCAGGTTTCAGGCCTGCCTCGTCCAATTGCATTTTTTCAAAAGCTCGTTGAAACAAGATATTCACAGCGCTTCCATTGTCCACCAACATTCTGTGGACTTTGCACCGACCTATTTCAGGCGTGATGACGAGTGCATCCTCATGGGGATTGTGCAATCGCATCGAGTCTTTCTCAGAGAAGGTGATCTCCTCTTCCCTGCAAACCTTAGTGGGCTGCGGTGCTATGCTCATCACACTCATAGGGTCATGGCGATCTTCCCGAGCATACCTCTCCTAGGCACCTCGAGAGTTCCCCGCGAGGTGTGGTCCTCCAAAGATGATCCCTACACAGTAGAGACCCTTACGACCACAACGCTTCTTCCCTTGTTCCTCTTGATCCTTTTCCCGAATGGGAGTCGAATCATCAACATACTCTTTGAAGTGCCCTTGCTTGATGAGGTATTCAATTGCTTGCTTGAGAGCCCGACACTCATCGGTGTGATGCCCATTATCCCGATGATAGCGACAATACTTTTTGCTGTTCTTGGCCGAAGGGGGATTCTTCATGGGCTTTGGCTCTCCGAGTAGGTTGACCTCCTCTGATTTATCCAGAATAGTTAACATTGAGGTATTCAAAGGAGTTTATTAACTTTTGTTGCGATCGCGATGAGGAACTTGGGCATAAGATTTTTTGGGCTCAAATCGTAACTTCTTTCCTTTCCGCTGATCATCATTAGCCCATCTACGATCAGCCCTTCTACTATTCTCCCCCAGATCGGGAGCACTAGTCGAAGGACCGAGGTCATGGTGATTAAAAGCGGCCATAGAATTTTTGATTTGGAGATATTTCTCAGTGAGGTTGTAGAAGCGAGTGAGGGAAACATCGTCCTTGGATTGTAGTTCCTTCCATAGGTCAGTCTGCGGGCAAACCCCCACGAAAATGAGAGTCCGAACAGACTCTTCGGGAGTATGAGCCACTTTGTGGAGTTCCCTATGGAATCTGTCTATGTAAGACTGGAGGGATTCATTCCTCGCATGCTGTATGTTGCTTAGATAGCTCAACGACATCGAGAACTTCCTGTTCGCTTGGAAGTGTCTTAAGAATGATGAGCTAATTTGTTGCCACGAGCTGATTGATCCCGCGGAAAGTAATCTGAACCAACACTTGACATGGGCAGTTATATTCACTGTTGAGCAACAACATTTGGCCAAGTCAGAGACTTGGTGGAGTTCCATGAGGTCATTGAACTCATAAAGGTGATCCTGCAGATTAGAATTCCCATCGAACACCCGCATGTTGGGCATTTTGAATCTTAATGAGAGAGGAGCAGCTAACACTGCTGGAAAAAGGAGAGACGCCTCTACGACTATCCCATGCTCATTCTGCTAAGCCTTAAGCTGATCCAAAGCTCACTGTAATTCCTCAATCTGAGGTAGCAGAGCTACCTGGGGATCACTCTCTGCAACGTGGATTTGACCCTCACGGTTGTAGTTGAGGAAAGACCGCAAATCGGGCTCTTCCTCAACTCGGTCAGAAGCTTGGGCGAACCTTGACACATGCTGGCTGGGGTCGTATGAAGGCATGAATGGCTTGAGGAGTTTTCCTGATCTCCACGGTGGTCAGAACCGACCCGCGGACGACGGGGGTTTCCCGCGTGATAACGATCGAGGTTATCATTTCGGCGATATTGAGAATCTCCTTGCCTTGCACTTTGGTGGAAGTGCCCATGCGACTTGGCATGGGACAGCTCATGTTGTGACATGTCATCGAGTCGCAATGCCACAGGTATTCTACCCGTTGCACGATCGGTGTTCGCTAGTCCCTCGGAGCCCTTCGATCCACTGCTCGCCACTTGCTTTTCCTTACTTTTATGCGTAAGTATGCATGCGGTGCGGGCTTTCGCCCTTTTCTATGCTTTCGCGTGACTTGCAGACGTCTTTGGCGGTGGCACTACCTCATTAGACTTTGGTGGTACGACCCGATCCAAACGGTCCAGCTTTTGGCTAATCATTTGGAAAGTATTGTTGAACCTCTCCAGGTAATTCATCACGGCTGGATCGAGTTGTGAGCTTGAAGGAATATCCGTCATGATGCTAAATCAGGCCCTCCTTCTAGTGCCAAACTGTTGATGCTTGATTTTGACCCCAACGACTCACACGTGCAAAGTGCTAAGCGAGCTTAGAAATTACACGTAATATGAAAATATGCAGTGAGAAAATAAATAAGAAGCAGTTTTTGAAGTGGTTCGGATGCTCAAAAGGGAATCCTACGTTTACTATAGTGGTATTAATGGATGGTTACAGTTAGGTCGCGTGTAGTGAGCTGAATTATAATCTAGAGAGAATATAGAGAGTGAAAGAGAGAATGTATGCCGTTTAATACTAAAGATAAGCAAATCTCGTAAACAAGAGAGAAGCCCTCTATTTATAGTTGGAGGATTCAAGGTAGTAATCATGGGTCTGCAGTCCGGCAGGTGTGGTACAATTCTTAACCTGCTTCACATTGGTTGTTTGCACGAGAGACATCTTTAAATCGCGTAGGGCTTGGGCATGTGGACAATTCCTGGCCACTCAAGTCTGGCATTCACCTACCGCACTGACGATAGTCATACCTCTTCCATCCTTGCGCGACGTAGCATCGTCTAGACGGCACAACGCCTCCCTGAACTCTGATTGGCCCTTGCTGACGAGAGCCCACGTCAACCTTGACTTTTTAGGTATAAATACAAATTGAAATAAATAAATAAATAAAGAACTTCTGACCATTTTATGTGGTACATAAAAGAGTAAGCCATGGCTGCAGAATCTCCGGCGAAAATGATGGCAGTAGTTTCATTGCAAGATTATGAGCTCTGTAAATCAGGTAACTGGGTAAGAGATAAAAGAAGAAGCTGAGTGTGCGAGTTGACATTATTTCCAAGAATTAGAATGCACAGCACATAACATAGGTTGAACTTTGGACAAAGTTGGGCTACAGCCCAACTTGATCCAATGGACCATCCCACTCCAAAAGTCCTGCTAATTTCTGAAAAGCCCCACCATTGAGCTATTTTCTGAATTTCACATTATGATGAGAGCAATGTGAACAAATAATCCCAGAAATTCTGAAATTGTTCACGCGGCTAGACGAAGTCACGACATATGTATATAAAATACAAAGCCTAGACAATTGTCTTTTGTTACTTTTTCAAAGGCTTAAGCTAATAAGTAATGTTGACTGATGTAGACAAAGCCAAATGGAGGCGTTATTTCTTGGGTCGGTGTTGATAAATTTGACCTTCTTCACACATAAACGGTCCAAGTAATCACCCTCCTTGATTATGACATCAAACCAACTTGGGGCAAGTCAGGTTCCTGGAACTCTGAAACATGGACCATTTGATGACAACAATATTGTCGTCTCTTTTGTGTTTGTATCATGAATTCGAACCATCTTTAATTTAAAATTACAGAATTTTGAAGGGTTTAATGATAACATTATTTAAAGTATAAAAACTCTTGATATAATATAATGAGACACAAATAAAGAGTTCAATGGAGAATGAGAGAAGTAGATTGCATATCTTTTCAAAGTATCTAAATATCTTTTTAAGCTTTTGTGTGATTGTTTTTTCAAGTGATTAATATGAGGGACCGAATCTAAGAGAAATAAGACAAATATGGACTTAAAATCATAGTGGACACCGCCATTATTGGTTGGTCCTCTTTTCTAAATTTTGCTTGTTTTATTGACACGAGGAAGACTAAACAACTGAGAAAGACAGCATATTTTAACTATAACCCAATTGAGATAAGGACCCAAAGCCAAAGGCCAGCTTTAATGGAAGCAGTCATTTTATATAAATAACCTCTATAGAATTGCTTTACTTTTTCTAGGTAGTTGATAACTTAAACTCACTGCATGTGTCATGCCTTTGACGACGTTAAGCAGTATCATCATCCAACAGAAAAATAATCATAAGTTATCTGGTTAAATTTAGTAACCAATCCAAGAGCGGTTACAAACTTATATGGTAAATGTTAAACCATCCAAAGAAATAAGAAAAAGAAGAAGTTAGGGTTTAATTGATACTGCATAATGCAATCAAATACAAAAAATGATTTAACCTAAATATAAAGAGACTATATATAGATTAAACAAGAAAAATAATGAAAATATTATTCTACTCTTAATAAACAATAAAACAAAATAATCTTGTATTTCTTAACAAGGAACAATTCATTTAGTAATGGATATTACTCTAGAATTCCCTAATGACAGAATAATGTATATTTTCATATTAATGAAATTTCTGTATATAATTAAATGTAAGATGAACAATGAATTAGTAAGTTGTATATGCATGACTATTCATTTCAACTCCTTCATTTCATGTTCCTCCTCTTCTTGACAACATTCCTTCAACAAAATCACCATCATCTTCAAGATTAAGCGAGTACACCACTTCTTCCCTCCTCCACCCCGCACGTAATAACACCAGAGACAATACTCTCATTTGCCACACTACACACTCTCTATAATTGGACCCCCCTAATTGGACCCCACTCTTCACCCCCTCCTTCTCATCATCTTCATCACACCCGTTCATCATCATCATCTCCCTAACCTCTTCTTCCCTCCATCCTCCATCTCTCAATTTCCAAAACACTCCCTCCAAACAACAATCCAATCCCACCCCAACTTCACCACCACCACCGCCGTTCCACCACCCGCGCGTGTCTCCACGCGCCACCATCCTCTTCCCTCTCTCCGCCGCCTCCGTCCAAAACTCAATCCTCCGCGCCTCTTTCGCCGCCCAAACAGGCATCTCAATATTATTGATCGACTTAAAAACACCGGCTTGCGAGAACTCAACTTCTTTGAAAAACCCCGCGAGGTCAAAGCTCAAAACTTTGACCTCCTCACTGTCGATGTAAAACACGGGGTTCCCGGCGATATTAGGCGTCGAGGGAATATAACAGTTTCTATATATAGGAACAAGAACCGGTGCTTTCTGTAATAATTGGTTAACCAATGACAAACTTTGATTCTTTTCTTGCAGCTTTTGCCCCCAAGAATCAGACCAAAAGTTGTTAAGAGCTACGTTTCTCGACAGGGACAAAAAGGGGAGATTTAAAAGAAGCTGAAGCTGTTGTTGAGAAGAAGAACGCCAATTGGGGAATGCGGTACCGACGGGGAGGCCTTCCCTGAGAATGGAGCGGAGGTCAGGAGGGAAAGTGAAGTTTAAAGTGAATTCAATGAAAGTAAATTCATCGTCGTTTAGGCCAGGAAGAATCGGAATGTTGAGGGATCTTAAATGGTCGATGAGGTTCTTGGCGTAGGCAGCAAAAGAGAAGCAAACAAGCTTGGTTCTTGGAGGGGTGATTTTTGTCGTTGCGGATAGAGTTGTTTGAATTGTAGTTGTTGCCATTGAAACGTTGAATGAATTGGTGTGAAGGTGATTATTTGTCAATGAAAAAACAAAAAACGAAGAGCGGATTAAGAGGAGAAGCACGTTAATCGCAAACTGTTGCGATCCGTATATTGGTTTTCAGAGAGAAAGAGCGTGTTCGTGTTTTGACCAATTAGTTGAAGTTAACGTCCCGTGGGTTTGGTTTTCTTAACCAAGAAATAATTGAACATGTGTGGTCACGTGAGATTTCATTTACTTATTTTTTTATTATAAGAAACTTCCGATATTTTATTTTATACAGTGGGTGCTTTAGATAAGTATGAATTAATTACGTAAGTTTTTTGGACACCCCTGATGTTTAGTATAACAACCAACCCACAGATTTCATTATATAACACTTACACCCTTTGTAATGTTTTGTTAAAAATAACTATTTAACCCCAAGAGGTTGACCTTGTGATCCAGAAGGTTTGCTTTCTTCGTTAACTTCTTAGATTCAAACCACTTTGGGGTCACCTATTACATTTGTAACTTATTTGGAATATTATGTTTGTAAGGTGTTAAATGGACTTCAAAGATTAATTGAATTGCGTACAAACTTATCCGAAGTCCCAAACACTCTAGTTATAAAAAATAAATAAATAACTATTTAATATTTTGATCATGTGACAATGTCAGATATTAATTTCTTTTTATTATAAGAGAAAGATAAAATAAAGGTATATTATTCATTATACCAAACTTCTTTCACTAAACCTCAGGAATTACATAAATTCTTATTTACTAACAAAATACACCTGAATTCTTAATTAATTTAGTAGCGGATAAGATCATCCACAACAATTCTTATTTTAGTCTTCAATTAATCCCTATTTATCATGTGGCTTACAGAAGAAAACATGAAGAATAAAATATAAAATGAGGAAATAAAAGAGAAAATTGAAAACGTTTCTGTTTGGGGATGATTAAAACAACAAACAACAAAAATCTAGATAAAAGTATTTCAGAACCTTATTTTCCACATCAAATACACTTTTAAAAACAATAAATACAAACATATCCAATCAAATGTGCATCCAATTTGACAACCATCTCCATAAAGCTAGAGTATTCCACTGTCTTTCATTTCATATCTTCCAATAATAGCACAAGGGATCCCAAACTGTCTCTCAATAACGTGACATATTTACTATTTATTTTACGAAAATGTTACTTCACCAACCAGTAATATTAATATTATATTTGGATAGAGCTGAATGAAGATAAATAACATGGTGCAATTGGACCCAAAATCATAAAATTATATTTGATGACATTTTCATAGGGTTCTAGAGTGTTGGACTATCAAGTACGAAGTTGGTAGAATTATTTTGATTTAACTTACATGCTTGGCATCCAAAGTTTGAACTATATGTTACAAAATAAATGCACACAGGTAAGGTAGGATAGGTGGAAAATCCAACTCAAAAGTAGATGGAATTTGAATTCATTTAGCATGAATTTGGGAATTATTCTTGTTGAAGGAGACAAAGGAGAAGGATTCAGGTTTATAATGAGGGATCTTTTTATGAGTTGTTAGGAAAGTTAAAAAATTAAGCTAAGATGTGACTAAGACTTTGTAACTTAAGATGGAGTATAATTTTAAATTTGTGAGACAAGGACTCTGTAACTCATCGGATTCATATGTGAAAGTGATATTTGAGTGTCAACCAATACAACTTTCTGACATTTTCTAGTTTATTTTTCTACATAATTAGGAAATTAAACTGGACTGATTAGGCCCAACCTGATCCAAAAGATAAGGACTAAATTGTACTCGGGCTGCATAAACAAAATACTGTAGGAAAACTCAAGGACAGGCCTAGTTTGAGATTCCTCCTTGTTCTTTGAAAAAAGCCTCATCGGCTAAACCCTGCCCCACATCAAAACTTTGGGCAAACTTCCTCCAGTTACATAAAGAAGTTACCCCAATTGAACAGAATTGCCCATCATCAGCTACAATCAAAATAGAGCAGAATGCAATTATGCGAATTGCTGAAGCAGAGGATGTAAATGCTGTTACCAGTTACATTTTACTTATATAGAGCCTTTAGACTTAGTTCCTAGCGCACTATCCATGTATATGCTGTCTCATCTTTTGTTGGAGCAATTTCTTCACCACCTGTGCTTGCATCTTCTCCCATTTCCTCTTCATTGTCATTCTTAGCCAATCCCACAGCACCTTCTTCAAGCTGTTCCGGAGCACTCGCTTCATCGACAAAACTCCATCCAGGAATGTGCTTTCCTCCTTGTCCAATAACACTGCCATTATCATAGAAACTTTGAGAAGTTGTATTGAAAGCATTCCTACCACAGCTTTCAGGGTTAATAGTAGGCCAACCAAATCTCCCATTTGCTGTAGTTCCTATATGAGTAGCCGAAGATCCCTTGCTATGAATTCCCTTGGGTTGCTGGGAAAGAACTGAAAAGTCAGCTCCGGAGTCATCAGCGTTGTCACCAATATTCTCCTTCTTGGAAGAGGAATTAAGCTCAATACCACTAATGTGAATTCTGGGATTTTCCTGTTGAACTTGACTGTTGAAAGCAGGCATCATCAAATGGCTTCCATTAACTTCCACATTATCGCTGCTGGTAGTGATTATATTAGATATCTTTTTATCATTTTCTTGCTGAGTAGTGGCAGGGGAATGACATGCTTTCACTCTATCTTCTACCTTGATTAGATTAACCTTTTCAAAGACAAGAGTTCTAGGTTCAGATGATTGAAATTTACTTAAAGCAGCAGGCTTTCTACCTCGTGCTCGGGGGTAATGCTCGTCTGGAGTAGGTAAAACATCGACTGCAGCGGTTGATTTCCTTGGTCTTCCTCTCTTTGATGCTTGCCCAGATAAAGCAGTCCTAGTAACTAGGGCAGTGGGTTCTTCGACTGCTGGTCTGAGAGATGAAACTTCTGCTTCAAGTTTCATTAGGCGACTTTTGTAATCAGCTACTTCTGATTGCAACTGACCAATAACAGTCCATAGCTGAACATTCTCTGCTGACTGCATCCTCAGAACCAAGTTAACCCACATGTATATTATGTGTAAGCGTTAGTTTACTAAAATCACTCTAAGCATAATATGACAGTTGAAGATAAGAACTCATACTTGAGCTTCCCAAAGTTGTTGATGCTTCTGAGAAAGTTTTGCCAACGGCCTGATAATTCCTCTCTGAAAAGGTTGCCCAAGAGATGCTGTGCAACCAGGTGATGGTGGAGGCGCTGCAGAAGCATAACCATATCCTCCTGGGGAAATGTGTGTGCAGGGCAACTGCGATTGTTGACCTTGGGCGTACCAAGATGAAGGATCCCAAGGACCTGTTAACAAGAAGAGCTCCACTTTCATATGGATAATAATGTATGCATCTGGCACACTTCTAAACATTAATCTGGAAACTATGCTATGCAAAATATCTGACTAGTTTAAGCATTCACTATATCTATGACTACTGAAAATTAAATTATACATAAAAATAATCTTTGTGCACCAAAAAAGAACATCCAATTAAAAGGATATGTTAAAAGTACTCCAAGAAAAAAATGACTGGAGATGTATCATTGCCTGGAAAGCTCAGATATGGGTAACCGACAGGGTAACAGAAATTAGGAGCCTGGGGTTGGTTGCTTGAAGAAGTTTCTCCTCCTATCATAACAGGAGCTTGCCAACTAGCATTGATCATTCCGAAAGGAGTGAATGTCTGAAAAGGAGCAGGAACATTTACTCCAGATAAATGGCAACCAGGTCGTGGGGGCATCCAAAAGGGCATAGCTGATTGGGCCAACTGCAGCTGGAGCTGGCCCTGCTGAACCTGATTGTTTGTGGAATTTGGTAATTGCTGCCATTGACTTGCAACAACGGGAGAGGGTGATTGGGTGGATACATACGGTCTTGAATTCATGGAAGATTGTTCTGCATGTTGAGGTGTGTATGGCCATTGAAGAACTGGTGGATATTGCTGATTTAAGGAAGTTGCATTTTCATGGGAAGGGCTGGCAGTTTTAGTATTCTTTGCATCAAGTGTCACATTGTGTGTGTTTTGTTCTTCATTGATCTGTTCATGATGAGATTCAAATCGAACTTATTAAATAGAAAAAAACTTGATCAAATAACTTGGTATTTCCTGTCACATAATCACAAAACATCTACATGCAACAAATCATATCAGTGAAAGAAAGAGTTGCATGTTTTTCACCCCTCCAAACAACTTAAAAGATGCTTACGCTCCCAATCTCATTTTATTTAAAAAAAGGAAGCTTCTACTTAGTAATCATTGAAACGAATATGAGAAAACAATAAGATACTGACAATATCTTCGTTTGATAAATATCAAAACATGTAATGTATCATTTCAACATCATTTTTCATACGATTATGATTGGTTAATTTAAAATTAAAATTAAACTTTCATCCAGTCATATCTTACCACATAATGTTGTACGAAAAATATTGCATAAAAATGATGTATGTGTAATATTATTCTTTCAAACAAGAGTTTTCAGAGACCCTAGCATGTTATTTCTTCTGAATCTTAAATGGGAACCCAACCATTCAAAATGAACAAAGTGCAGTAGAGTAGAAAATGGAAACAACAAAACAAACTATAAAGCTTCAAGATAACAGAACTACACAAAAGTCAACCAAGGACCAGTCATGATGGGGCTTTAGCACTAAAACGGGTTTAACAAGAAGTTAAGAACTGAGATTGAGTATGCAAGACCAAGAAAAGAAACCATTCCCTTTGTTTTAGCAAGTTAAAAAAAGGATCGAAGCTCATACCAAGAGGTCAATTGTCTCAGTCTCTTGACAAGTAGAGTAAACAATTTTCTGCTCTTTCTTCTTCTTTTCCATGGCATTGAATTTAAAAAAAGAAAAAACACTTATTTATGCACAAAAAGACCTTTTGTGCAGTGGTGAATAGAGAGTAAAGTTTTTGTTGCAGGCCTAATGCAGTATTACCCTGAAGAAGAAAGAGAGAGAAGGTCAACACCATTAAAGAGTAGAAAAAGAGCCCGAATGTCTTCTTCAGCACTTTCACTTTGCAAAGAGAATGAAAAGGAATTTTACAGCCTTTTCTGACTCTCGTTCCTGTTGCAAACCTGTCCTTCTGTCTGCTGGAAACTAAATATTTACAAAATAGTTAATGGCAGGATAACATTAACATAACACACCATTGCAAACTAAGTGCCCAAATGAACATTAATTTTGTTTTGCCGTGGAAATTGAACAGTGAAACCTGAAAAATGGCCCAGTTCTATTTGCTGTGGATGGAACACCATTGAGTGTGCACATTTTCAATATTAAACATTTGCATACCAGTGTAAATCACTAAATTAAAATTAAGAACGATTATCTTAATTTACACGGACAAGACTGTTCTTTGAAACTAGCAAAGTCACAGGTGAGTAGCAGTTTCAGAGTTGCCTAGATAAACATGAGAGAGTGATAAGACAACTATTTTTACATCCTACCGACGTTAATTTTCATAATTATTTTGAAAGAAAAGATTATAACCCAAAAAGAAAAAAAGAAAAAAAAATAGTGGATTATTGATTAAAAAAATGAAAGGGTAGAGGGAAACAAGGGAAAGAGGGAGCAGGAATATGGGAATGAACGTTTAGAAATGGTGGGTGGGTGCGTCATGCGTGGAAGACCACCCCATTAAAATTGTCCTCTGGTCAAACACAATACTTCATTTGGTACGCTTAATTACTAATACAAATTAACCCTTTTTCCAATGTCTCCTCTAATTTACCTGCACTTGTACTCACCGTACGGACAAATATGCCTTCCAACTCCTGATGACACAAAAATTATCAAACCCAATAGACACCAGATGGGCTATAACAGGCCCACAACTATTTTAAAGTAGTTAAGCCCAGAGAATTAGTCTCAAGGATGCGTTTGTTTTCTATCTTATTCATATTCCAAATCAAAATACATATTTGTTTCTTTATTCTCAAAATCATATCCTAAATTATTTAACTATTTTTAATTTTCAAATTCTAATAACCACCCAACCCAACTCTACCTAACAATAATATTTCAAAAATATTATTCCAAATAACTAAAACAATCCAACCTGATTTATTCATGCTGTTTAAAGAACTCAGTATGCCTCATAAAACCATGTTTTAAATTTTACATTAACTTAGGAAATTGTTACTTATTTGTTATTGCAATGAGTATTCCTCGAGTATATATTTTTATCGCACACCTTATAGTTTTAAATCGACTATAATATCATGCTATAAGCAAATAGTTTAGCGAAGATATAAAAAATTTATTCAAAAAGGGGGCAGCATTCATATCATCGAGAAGTCTACAATAGTTATACATTAACAGAGGAGCAACTGATCAACTCAATCCAACCATATGAGCAGAAGAAACATAACATCGTCACAACATAAAAAGCAATGTAAAAAAAACAAGCTTATTATTAATTTAACAAATAGATTCTCAGTACTCATCTCCCTCATCATCATCTTCACCTTCAGCAGACTCTGCACCGACTTCCTCATAGTCCTTCTCCAAGGCAGCAAGATCCTCACGAGCTTCGGAGAACTCACCTTCTTCCATACCCTCACCAACGTACCAGTGCACGAATGCCCTCTTCGCATACATGAGATCAAACTTATGGTCAATGCGAGAGAACACCTCTGCCACACTGGTGGAGTTTGAGATCATGCACACAGCCCTTTGCACCCTGGCGAGATCACCACCAGGGACAACAGTTGGAGGCTGGTAGTTGATACCACATTTGAAACCAGTTGGGCACCAGTCAACAAATTGAATGGTGCGCTTAGTCTTGATGGTTGCCACAGCTGCATTGACATCCTTGGGCACCACATCACCTCTGTACATGAGGCAGCAAGCCATGTACTTGCCATGGCGAGGATCACACTTAGCCATCATGGATGAGGGCTCGAATGCACTGTTAGTGATCTCAGCAACAGAGAGCTGCTCGTGGTAGGCTTTCTCAGCTGAGATGACAGGTGCATAGGATGAAAGCATGAAATGAATCCTAGGATATGGGACCAAGTTAGTCTGGAATTCAGTCACATCCACATTCAAGGCACCGTCAAACCTCAGGGAGGCAGTCAGGGATGATATCACCTGAAACACGCACCAAAAAAATTTAGGAAGAAGTAACATTTAAGCAACAGCAAACAGGTTTCTAAATAAGATAGAACAATGAAATGGTACCTGAGAAACCAAGCGGTTGAGGTTGGTGTAGGTGGGGCGTTCAATATCAAGGGATCGCCTGCAAATATCATAGATGGCTTCATTATCAAGGAGGACGGCAACATCAGTGTGTTCCAGAAGTGAGTGGGTGGAGAGCACACTGTTGTAAGGCTCAACAACAGAGGTTGAAACTTGTGGTGAGGGATAGACAGTGAACCCAAGCTTGGACTTCTTCCCATAGTCTACTGAGAGACGTTCCAGCAGAAGGGATCCAAGACCTGAACCAGTACCACCACCAACAGCATTGAAAACCAAGAAGCCTTGGAGACCAGTGCAGTTGTCAGCAAGCTTGCGGATACGATCTAAGCAAAGATCGACAATCTCTTTGCCAACTGAAACAAAGGGAAATATGTAAGCAGATGATATCAAAAGAGGTCAAAGTCGCAAGAATGAGGTAAAAAATACTTACTTGTATAGTGGCCACGTGCAAAGTTATTAGCAGCATCTTCTTTGCCACTAATGAGCTGTTCAGGGTGGAAAAGTTGGCGGTAAGTCCCCGTCCTGACTTCATCAATGACAGTGGGCTCTAGATCAACAAAAACTGCACGGGGGACGTGCTTCCCAGCACCAGTCTCACTGAAGAAGGTGTTGAAAGCATCATCACCTCCTCCAACAGTCTTATCACTTGGCATCTGGCCATCAGGCTGCACATTACAGGATACAACTTAGATATTTGACAAAATAATAAGAAATTCATAAATAATAAAGCCTCAGCTGTATAACATAGAAATATTGCAACAAGGACAAAGAACCAAACAAACACTGTTAACTCCAATAACACAATCACATAAAATTGAACAAATACAAGAACCGTTCTTCAACACTAATGAGACGAAAACAGCAGGTTTGGATCATATACAATACACAAATTATATATTAAATAAAAGCCAATAAGAAAGACATGTTCTCCTTCCATTAATCTTCTCCCTAAACAAACTTCTCATTTGACAGGCAGGAAGTAAGCGGGCATGAAACAACAGAAATAGAGGGATACCATACCCTAGTTGGATAAACAATTTCAACAAACAACAGTAAAATGATCAATTTGGAATCAGATGATGTTAACATATGTCAGAGATTTTTTTTTACAATGCACTTTACTTACAAAGGAAGTGATAAAATGTTTTTAAATTAAATTTTGGTTGTTTGACCTCAAATCTGACTTACAGAGGTCTCATTCTGAATAATGGTGGAACATGGAATTAGGATTACTTATCTCTATCAAGATCGGTAATTAATATACATCAGTATAGTAGATCTTACATTTCACCTAAAGAGTATATAACGAAACATTAAAGCAAATCGAAATATAATCTAATATAAACAACAAAATATGATAAATCGCATCACACAACTTAGCAAAACAGTAGATCTAATAATGCGAACAACAAAGTTTATGTAGTACGAAGATCTTAGAACTACGAGTACACCAGATCTGAAGTTCAATGAACTAGACTATAATCATTGATATGTCAACAGATCCATCGAGAATAAACATTGCGAGTGGCATATAAACGCTAGATCTAACAAGAGATGCTTTAAAAAAAAGCCACAAAAGCCAAAAAAAAAGAATCATTTAGATCAGGGATTAGCTATGAGAAATGAAACGACAAGGAAACTGAATAGCGGAGGAAACGTACATTTCATTAA